CCCCTCGGTCGGTTGGGCGGGTAAGTGGGCCGTGGGACTACGCGCGAAAAAAAAAAAAAAAAAAATAGGTCGATCCCAACCAACCATCAGCAATTAAACAATCTTCAACTATTTTTTACCGGTCATCATATCGAAAAAACTGGTTTTTTAAGAGCCAAAACCCTGAAAATTTTCACACACTGATAGAAGCTTTAACGACAGAACTCAACCTATGTTAAAACCAATGAACTTTGGCAAAATTCCCAAAAAAAAGCTTCTCTGATCGTAACATTGGGGAGTTTCTGATGCTCTGCTTCCATCCCCGTAGATAGCTGATGAGTCTGAGGTGACGTGCATACGAAACTAGCTAGTCCTATCATAGTCGGGTTCATTCCCCAGGGAGTGTAAGTGTGATGAAAGTTAGGTGGAATAAATCGTTGTGTTTTAGAAGAAATTTTTACATTTTATATATATATACTTATATATATATTCTACAGGAAATATAAATATTCATCTTGATAATTTTCAAACTGTGAGTTTAGTTTGGGTAGAAACGAACAATCTGATTTTGACTTGGGTGCTTTTGACTATGACTATAATATAATTTGAAAGGGTATTGAGGTTGTACAACTAAAAGGGTCTAATCTGGTTTTTATGAACCGAAAATCGCTTCATGGTAACTTAACATAACATTTGGCACATTATTAAGACTTTTTTAATGGTCTAATGAGGCATTAAAACTTTGCTAGTAAAACCAATTTTAGCTTTGTTCGACAGTAAAAGACCAGGAATGGATACACAGAAGTACTATTATTTGGAGGAGGACACAAACTGCACCAAATTAAAGCAGAAGTCGCTCTGAAACCCACAAAATCCTAAATATATACAAGTTAGCATGGAACTCAAAAGTGTTGCAAGATCGGATGCAATTCTCCTTTTGCCTGACTTTCTAGGAGGATATTTATGTTAGCATTAATTAGTTCTTAACAGACTCAACAATAATTCAAACGGATTCGGGAGTAACAACGATAAATGAAGATTATTAATAAAACGTGAAAATAATCTTCTCTTTATCGGCGCCCAACCAATAAAACCTGTGAAAAACCTCAACCAAAAACTTGTGCGCGGATAATTCACACTTACAATTAACGAAGGCAAAAAAAAACACCTCAAACAAAAATTGTAGATAAAATGTTGTTCGTGTGAACAAAACTTTTAAGCAACAACAAGTTTTGAAGAATAGCTGCAGAACGCTGCGCTGAATTCGCATACAATTTCGAAACACCCTACAAAGATCATAGCTGCGCTGTTATTGACAGACAATGTGTCGTATGTCAGCATTGCAATGCACTGAAGTTTCAATTGGAAACCCCCGGCTTATGCTGTGCAGGTGGCAAAATTAAATTGCCCATTTTGGCTCATCCACCAGAGCCTTTGTATTCGCTACTATATGGAAATTCAGCCCAATCAAACAGTTTCCTAAAGCTTGCACAAAAATATAACGGATGCTTTCAAATGACGTCATTTGGAGCCGAGGTTGTTCATCAACCAGGCTACAATCCGAGTTATAAGGTAATGGCCTCTCTTTATTATCAAAATGAACAACTCTCATTTTTTCAAAATTGCATCCCAACATTCAGATTCAAGGGCAAATTCACCATCGAGCGGGCGCTTTGTTACCACCACCAAACAAAGATCATAAATTCCTTCAGATCTACTTCATTGGTGATTCGGAAGATGAACTAAATCAGCGTTGTGCAATTTTCACTGCAACTAAACGTGAAATTATACAAAAATTGCAAAATCTTCTGCATGAGAGTAATGAATTGGTCAGATTGTTCAAAACTGCATTGGATACAATGCATTCTGACGACCACAAAATCATTATCAGCGCTGGCAAAAGGCCCACAGGAAGACATGCAAGACAATTTAATGCTCCCACTATTAAAGAAGTCGCAGTGGTGATCGTTGGCGAGAATGTGGAATCACGCTATAATGTTCTCAAGCGTCGGGATGATGGCCAATTGCAGCGAGTTTATGAGACTCATCGGTCATATGATGCACTTCAATACCCGTTGATGTTCTGTCGTGGAGAAGATGGGTATCACTTCAACATAAAGATGTTCAATTCAACGAGAGGTTTGTTTACAAGTCATCACTTCTTTTTGATTCTACAACTAAGTTTGAATTCAAATTTTAGGAGAAGAAACGAATAAGAAGGTCAGCTCTATGAATTTTTATGCGTATCGACTGATGATTCAACAGTACTGTGTCGACATGTACGACATGAAGGACACGCGGCCAACATTGGTTGTTTAACCATTCTCCCAGCTACATGAGTACGCTTAAGATGCGATTACGTATGTCCGTAATTACGGACGCCCGTATTTATTCATCACGTTCACATGCAATCCGAAATGGCCCGAAATTACGAATCTGTTGCTTCCAGGACAAACATCTAGCGATCGACCTGACATCACTGCACGAGTATTCAAACAAAAGATCACAGTACTTATGAATAATATCGTTAAGCAGAAAGTTTTTGGCGCAGTTCGTTGTTGGTTGTACATGGTTGAGTGGCAAAAGCGTGGCTTACCACATGTGCACATTCTGCTTTGGATGTTCGACAAGATCCGACCAGATCAAATTGATTCGATTATTTCAGTCGAAATACCAGATAAACAAACTGATCCCGAGCTGCATTCCATTGTGACAACGAGCATGATCCATGGCCCTTGCGGATCCCACAACCCAGAATCAGTATGTATGAATAACGAAAATAACCCGTCCGTTGACGGCTGAAACAATCAATGGACACGATGGATATCCATTGTATATGCGTCGTTCTCCAGATGACAACGGCAAATGGACCGAAGTAATGGTGAAACAAACGTAACAGTAATTGTGGATAACCGCTGGATCGTTCCATATTGTCCGCTTTTCTCGAAAACGTTCTCAACGCAGTGCAACTCTATAAAATCCATCAAATACGTTTGCAAATATGTGAACAAAGGGAGCGACATGGCGGTGTTTAGTATTGCTGATCCGAATGCAAACGATGAGGTGACGAAATTTCAACTTGGACGCTACGTTAGTTGTAACGAGGCCATTTGGCGGCTATTTTCATTTCCGATTCATGAACGTCACCCGACTGTCGTGCACTTATCTGTTCACTTGGAGAACGGCATTCAGAGATGCCACGCTATTATACATGGATTATGCTATTGCTGGCTTCGCTGGTCTTGACATCGACCATCGACTGATGCGCTCGGACGAATATACACAGTTCATCCACGCCAAGACGAATGCTTTTATCTTCGCTTGCTTTTGGTGAACATTAGAGACCCTACATCCTTCGAGTCCCTGCTTACTGTGGATTGTGTGCTGTGCGCCAATTTTCGGGAGGCTTGCCAACGTTATAACTTGCTCGAAAACGATGCTCATTGGGATTCAACGCTCGCCGATGCCATTGTTTCTGCGTTAAGGGGGTATATACCTTTTTCATTTTCAAAAAATCGAAAATTTTTTTTTGCTTTATCTTAAAGAACAACTTTTTGAGAATATTTCCCAAAATTTTCATAGAGATTTGAGCAGTAGAAAAAAAGTTACAGCGCTCCTAGCCGCGCGCCTCGTCGACGCCCAAACCCAAACTAGAAACTTTAAACGCGAATATCTCGAAATGGTTTTTTTTTAATGACTTTGCGGTGATATGGATTGACGAAATACTACTGAACCGATTTTTTTCAAATTTTTTTTAAATGTCCGTAATGAATTTTATTAGTACTTGAACGATCGTTTTTTCATGTAAAAATTTGTATTTCGCCGAAATAGATAGTTTTGTGAGAATTTTAGCGTCCAAAAACGTCATTTTTTGCATTAAACCTTCCCGTATCAAAATTTTAAAAACGTTCGTTCAAGTACAGGATACTACTTTAAACTAATGAAATATTTTTATTTTTTCGGTATCAGTTGACCCATTTGTCTTAAGGGGGTCTTCTAGTCTAGAAATTTGAGAAAATCGAAAAAAATTTTTTTCATAATTCGATAGTTTGGATATTCAATATCTTCCTAAAAGGATTTTCAAAACTCAAATTATTTTCATAGCTATAGCCGTTTTAGTGACGTGGCAACTAGACCGGTTGAGGGAACGACTGGAACTTTAAACGCGTTTTTCTCGAAACTACTTTTTTTGATGCGGTCGCCACTCTAACTCAAGTTCTAATCAGTCGATTTACTTGAACTTTGGCAAGAATATTCTTTAAATATATCGCTTTCGCATGAACCAACAAAAAAAAAAATTTTAAATTTATAATATTTTTAAAAATTCGACAAAGTGGAAAAATTAGTGAAAAAAATCGACTTTTTTCTTTGAGTAGCCGCCATTTCATGAAAAAAAAAGATATTTTTTTTTTGGTGGTTCATGCCATAGCGACATTCGTACTCATTAAGAATCTATCATTGTTTTAGTTTTCAGATAACTACAAGCATAGATATCATGGCGACGCGGACACGTCCTCTTTTTTTTTCCCTCTTCTTCAAGAAGGAATAACTCAATGAAAACTAATTTTTTTTTTTTGAAATTTATTTTTTGTACTCCTTTAAGTTTAATAAACAAGTGATAAAAAAACGGATGGTAAAAATATATATTGCTTTTTTTTATTAATTGTTAAAAAAAGGTCGAAATTCGAGCCTCTAGACTAGAAGACCCCCTTAAGGAATTATCACCGAAAGGCTCTTAAAAAAAGGCGTTTAAGGGAAACAGCCACCTTAAAAACTATTAAATATTTTTTCAAAAACTTTTGCATAAACATTGTCAACAATCTAAACTTTCAGAAAATATAATCATTCATTTAATAAAAACAATAGTTACATACATAAAAAAATCCAAACTTTCCTATTTTTTTCGACAAAAAAAGGTATATACCCCCTTAACGAATCAAATCCAATCATTATTTGCAATAATCATAGCCACATGTCATCCGTCGAACCCGACCGCACTGTGGGACAACTATAAGGACCACATGGTTCGCAGGAAAACTGATAATTTTACCATTACCGAAGAAATGCGCAACGAAGCGTTAATACAGATCGAAGACATTTGCATGCTCATGTGCGGCAGTCTACTAGCGACATTGGGAATGCCAGCGTTAAGCAGTTCAATGCACGATGCTTTCAATCGCGAGTTTCAACGGGAGCACCACTTTGATCAACCTAACCTGGCCGAAAGAGTCCGACCAAATGTGCCGCTTTTGAATGCCGAGCAGAAGAACGTGTACGATTCGATAATGAAGGTTGTTTGCGATGAAACGGGAGGCTTATACTTTCTCGATGCTCCTGGTGGGACAGGCAAGACATTCGTCATTTCGTTGATTCTGGCAACGATTCGGTCAAGATCTCAAATTGCGGTGGCTGTTGCATCATCTGGCATTGCTGCTACATTGTTGGAAGGCGGTCGAACTGCACATTCCGCTTTGAAGCTACCCATGAATCTTCTGACGGTTGACCAGCCAACGTGCACGATGAACAAGAATTCGGCGACAGCGAAATTGATGCGAGAATGCAAAATAATCATTTGGGATGAATGCACGATGGCACATAAACGAGCCTTGGAGGCAGTTGACCAAACCATAAAGGATTTACGAGGTGATTCGAAACTATTTGGTGGGGCCTTGATATTGCTGTCCGGAGATTTTCGTCAAACGCTTCCCGTCATCCCGAAATCTACGGCTGCCGATGAAGTTATTGCATGCCTAAAATCGTCCTCTTTGTGGCGATATGTCAAGAAGTTTAAATTGTCCACGAATATGAGAGTCGCATTGCAGAATGACCCCTCCGCTGCTGAATTCTCGAGACAACTGCTGGCGCTTGGCAATGGCGAAATTCCAGTTGATGTTTCGACTGGACTAATATCGTTCCCAGCAAATTTTTGCGAGTTCACATCGTCGAAAGAGGAACTCATCACAAAAGTGTTTCCCGACATTGCACAAAATTATAAAAATCTCGATTGGATTAGTGAACGGGCAATACTAGCAGCGAAGAATAATGACGTAGATAGTTTGAATTTCGTTATTCAAAGTCAAATCGCTGGAGAACTGCATTCATACAAATCCGTTGACAGCGTGGCCTACTAGGATGAAGGGACCAACTATCCGACAGAATTTTTGTACTCACTGGATGTGCCAGGAACTCCGCCGCATAATTTGCAACTGAAAGTGGGATGAATTATTATAATGCTGAGGAATCTAAATCATCCGAGATTATGCAACGGTACGCGGTTGTCCGTTAAAAAACTGATGAACAACGTGATTCATGCTACGATTATTAAGGGCAATTTTAAAGGAGAGGAAGCTCTTATCCCACGAATTCCGATTATTCCAACAGAAATTCCATTCCAATTCAAGAGGATTCAGTTCCCAGTTCGATTGGCATTTGCGATGACAATCAATAAATCGCAAGGCCAATCGTTGGATGTCTGCGGGATTAATCTGGAATATCAATTTTTTCACATGGGCAGTTATACGTAGCCTGTTCGCGTGTGGGAAAGCCGTCATCATTATTTATTTTTCACCGGATAACAAAACAAAAAATATTGTTTATCACATCGCTCTCCACTGATTTCGAGTCAAATAAATTTTTATGAAATTTGAATTACCAGTGTTTTATTATTACTCTGGGCTTATATGAAGTCGTGAAATCGGGGCGAGACAAAGTTCGCCGGGTGCTCTATTTTTTAAATAAATGTAAATAATAGCATAAGAAAGACATACATAATAAATGATAACATGCCATACATAAATAGCATAAGAATTAAAATTTATAGAATTGGAAAACTTACCCAACATGGGTCTAATAGATACCGAAACTGTCGATTCTAAAAAAGAATCAGAAAAAATTGATATCGAAACAGTAACAATACTATTAATAATAATTGTCGTTATAATGTCAGCAAATGTATTTCTGAAATTGTACAAATTGCACAATAAATGCTTGCGCAGAAGATTCCAAAGTCAAGCCAAATACTTGGATAAAATTTAAAAACTTGCTTATCATAATTGCAAATATTATTAAAACTAACAACAATTAAAAAAAAATATATATGTACATTCGAAATAAAATCCGATACATTTTTAAATTAAATAGTCATTACGTTAACGCAAAATCGAACAATCCAACAAACAAACAACAATACTATTAATAATAATTGTCGTTATAATGTCAGCAAATGTATTTCTGAAATTGTACAAATTGCACAATAAATGCTTGCGCAGAAGATTCCAAAGTCAAGTCAAAGACTTGGATAAAATTTAAAAACTTGCTTATCATAATTGCAAATATTATTAAAACTAACAAAAATTTAAAAAAAATATATATGTACATTCGAAATAAAATCCGATACATTTTTAAATTAAATAGTCATTACGTTAATGCAAAATCGAACAATCCAACAAACAACTTTGTACAAACATGCAGAAATATTAATATCTCGCTTTAACAAAGTGCGTCATGCGCGAAAAATCGATTAGATAAAAATTGTTGGTCTCAAGTATCAAAACTTTTGATCAGACAACGATCAAATTTAATAACTATAAAGGAAAGGTAAAATTGAAATATTTCGGTACGAACTATCCTGACAAAAGAACCATTTGAAAAATTTGCCGTTGAGGTAATTAAATCAAAAATAGTAGGATCAACCTTATACAAGGTTCAAAACAAAACTATCATTAACGGAATCAGTAGAGGATATGGCAGAGGTTACTACCAAAACAAAGGTTATTACCGAAACAATGGGTATTACCAAAATAATGGCTACAACCAAAGATATAATAACCACACCAATAATAATAATAAAAGAGGTCGTGGAAATTAAAGAGGTTATAACCGTAATGAAACCAGTAATAACAACAACAATAATTCCGGAGGGTACTCAAATGCGCAAATACGAACTGTCTACGCACATTTGGAAAACTAAATAATTCCCTTAAGAAAATAAATTATCATACAAAAACACCCTTAACTCTTTTAATTGATACATTCGCTGATTTAATTCTATTAAAAATAAATTCTGACAAGTACGATGACATAGACATAACGAAAACAATAAATAAATCAACACTTATAGAAATACAAACAGGAAAATTTATGTTCCCTTTTACTTTCAAAACGTAAATAATGACTTTCAACCAGATCATGATTGCTTAATTGTTAGACCTGAAAACTTCGATCAAGAGATTAACATTCCAATTCCATTTAAAACCCAACCGATACCAATAAAATTATAAACGTTTATGAAATCGATTCTGAACCATTAGATAATTATCAAACACCATAAAAGAACAGAATGTTACTCCAGAAAAATAGAACATTTCCGAGCTGTGTCTAAATACCTGGAGGAAGCTAAGAAAAACTACTACACGTACCAACTAAAAAGCAGCAAGGGCTTGTAAGTTGTACTAAAAGGGATTGAGCCCGACGTAACCCCCAATGAAGTTATCGATGCCCTCAAAGAAAATGGGTTTTCTGCAAAAAACGTTAGTAACATCATTAACAGGAACAAAAAGCCGCAACCACTTTTCAAAGTAGAGCTGGAGCCAGATAGCAGAGTCTTGAAGAAAAATGAAGTGCACCCCATCTATAACCTGCAATACCTATTGCACCGAAAAATTAAGGTGGAAGAACTACATAAAAGGAACGGCCCAGTTCAATGTACAAACTGTCAGGACTATGGACACACCAGAACATACTGCACACTTCGATCAGTATGTGTAGTCTGTGGAGACTTTCAAAATTCGGCCAATTGCCTTGCCAACAAGGAAGACCCCCAAAAGAAGAAATGTGGAAACTGCGGAGGAAATCACACGGCAAACTACAGGGGCTGTGTGGTCTACTAGGAGTTGAAAGACCGCATGCGACGAGTGACAAACCACTCAAAACGTGTACACTTACTCAAAAACGAAGCCGGAAGTATTTTTCGGGACGGCTGCAAAATCCTCATTTGGTCAGCTAAATACCCAGAAGGGATTTTCATAAGCCGAGGACCTTCGAAGAAAACCCACTCCAGTCTTACCTAGGAAACGTTCAGCAGGCCCCAGGATAGTCACAAATACCACTGGAAGCTATGATGGTTACTTATGTCCTTCATGAAAACGACCATGCAAACACTGGTTCAAAACCAGAACATGGTTGTTACAGTTGCTTGCAGCAAAGCAGTACAAATAGTTGATGGCAAATCTACGAATAACCATGTGGAACGCCAATGGCGTTTCCCGGCACAAACATGAAATAACACAGTTCCTGAATGAAAATCATATCGACATTATGCTACTGACAGAGACGCACCTTACAAACAAATACAATTTCCAAATATAATGCAATTTAAAAACTAAGCAACGAATTGGACTATGTTTCCCCAGGTAGCCCCACATACTGGCCAGCAGACCCCAGATAGGTTCCAGACTTAATAGATTTTGCGGTGACAAAAAACATTCCACGCAATATAATAAGCGACAAGCGCTTTCGGATCATTCATCTGACGACTCGCCAGTGCTAATAACTCTTATTCAAGGCCCAGAAGCTACAGATCACCCCCAGAGACTGACATCGCACAGAACAAATTGGTTAAAATATAAAATGTATGTAAGTTCTCACATCGAAATAATTATCATGATGGAAGAGAACTTTTTTCTTCGCCAAATCGGCCAATAATTCGGCGTAGTACAGCCCTGTGACCGTTTTGCCCTTCTCCAGGTAGTCGATGTAGATCACACCTTGCGAATCCCAAAAAACGGTGGCCATCACCTTTCCGCCCGATGGGACAGTCTTCGCCTTCTTCGGAGCAGGTTCGCCGGGTGAAGTCCACTGTTTCGACTGTTCCTTGGTGTCTGGTGTGTATCAGTGGATCCATGATTTGTGGACGGTCACGAAACGACGCAGAAACTCCTTCGGATTGCGCTTAAACAGCGTCAAACACTGCTCTGAAGTGGTCTCACGGTTGTGTTTGTTGAACGGAGTGAACAATCGCGGCACCCATCGCGCCGACAGCTTTCTCATGCCCAAAATTTCATGCAGGATTTGACCCACGCGGTCTTTTGACATGCCTACTGTCTCAGCTATCTCGCGTATCTTCAACCGGCGGTCTGCCAACACGAGATCGTGGATTTTTGTCACGTTATCCTCCAATTTTTGACGGTCGCCATCGAAGGAGAAGAGTCACCGTACACCGCATTTCCCTTCTAAAAACAAGAATCGAATCACAGACCGATATTGTTCTTTCTCCATTTTTCTAAAATCCGCGGACAGGTCCGATTCCACACGCAGTCAAAACAAAACTACGAGTCCGATTCGACTGAAATTTCGACAGTAGCCGTCTACGAGAATGTACTACACGATAGTAAATTTCTCTTTCGATAGTGACGCCATCGGGCGGTGAGGCTAAGTACTTATCGGACTGCCCTCGTAAATCAACTACCGAACTGGAATTAACAGCAAAACAGTGCATATATAGAAAACCATTTACTATTAAAACAGACCATAAACTTTTAACCTATCAATGAAAAATCCAACGTTCAAATTAACAAGAATAGGACTAGATTTAGAAGAATTTCAATTTACCTCAAGGGAAAAAGAATAACGTAGCTGTTGTCTTATCAATAAGCATCGAAAATTTAAAAGACCTAAATAGACAAATACTAAAAGTCACTACGAGATTTCAAAGTAGACAGAACCAAAACTGCCCAGTATCACAAACATGTTCGGATTTGCAAAAGCAACCGACAGCTTCTAAGCCCAATATATTTGACGTCATTCGCAACGAAGGTATTACAAAGAGAGGAAAAAGGATATATGCAATAATACATTTTGATGATCTATATAGCAATAGAATAATCGATTTAGATCCATTTTTCCAAAGACTTGAAAAAACATCCGGTATAAAAAAATTAGCCAACTGAAAATGGCGCCAGAAAATCTTTGAATACATTTCCATAGATAAATTTGAAATGAAACAAGAACTAATGCATTTGATAGAGTGTTAGTGGATTCGATCGGTTTATTACCCAAATCAGATCAAGGTAACGAATATGAAGTTACTTGAATCTGCGATTTAAAGAAACACCTTTTTAGCATTACCAACCTA